GCTTTTATATGTCTACTTGAGTGACACAATTGTGTGTTTTTTGTGTTATTTGCTACGAATTTGTGCTTGAATGCGTTTTTTACTTGGTATGTGTTATCTACTTAATCTGCTCTAACTTGTCTTGTGCTTATATGTTATTTGTTAAAATTGTTTTCAAGTTCATAGATGTTCACCTTTGTCAATTTATTGGCAAAAGGGGGAGTATGGTTGAAATAAGGGGGAGAATTATATGTTTGGAAATCTGGATAATTTCTCTTTCGGGTTTTCTAGGCTTCTCTTATTATTGAGCGACTTTCAGACATTGGAATTTTGTTGGAAGATATCTCTATACAGCTTACTTGTTGAGTATGAAGTCTTATGGATGGAGCACGGTCCAATGTGTCTTGGTAATTTTTGATAAATTCTAAATCATAGGATCTTTTTGTCAAGAACATATACTAAGGGCTATTTTTAATGAAATTATTTGAATTAACTATTAGCTCTTTGCCCTAAGTATATATGTCTTAGTTTTTGCCAAAATAAATTGCCAAAGGGGAAGATTGTAAGTGTACAAATGATACACGTTAGACCCTTTTATGTTGGCTAATTTAATTGACAAAATAATCAAAATTTATATTGGAATTAACCTATGGACCATGGACCGTCTCATATCAAAAGGTATGTCTTTATCTTCTACAGCATGAGTTTATTCGGAGGTGTTCGAAATTATGAAGAAAATACTCATTATGAATATGATTGTTAATCAAGCTTGAAGAAATTAATCAAGTGGTCTTGGTTAATTGGTGTTAATAAAGGAATTTATCTTTGCATGGATTTGTTACAGTTTGGCATTGAAGTGGTAAGTGAAAAAGTGTGGTGTGTATTATATTAGAAAATTAAAGTATGGTTTGATGAGTGGATGAAGTTAGTATGGAAGTCAGCTTACGCATGGAATGAGGTATTCAAATAAAAAATGTGTGGTTTTGGATTAATGAAGATTATGAGATGCTGATTTCAAGGATCAATGTAATGCATATCCATTGCTATAAAAGGAAGCCACTCAAAGAAGAAAGTTGCCAATTTTAGAACTGCTATTCGAAGTGCATACTTTCTCTACAAAGCTACCTAATTTAAACTGTCTATATTGTTTATTTGCTAAGAGTATTTAATCTGAGCTACGTGATCTGTACCTGGTACTGCTGAAGCTTATTTGGAAGAATATTGTGGCATGTGCGTTTCAGTTCTGAATAGGTGTTAGGAAGGGTTGTAGTGGTAAAGGCTGAAGGCCGTTTGTACTTACCTCTTGTAATACTCCTTTGGTGAACATCTATAGTGGATTGGGCAGACATGGGTTGCCCCGCAAGCTAGGAGAAGCGCTTCGAACTGCGTAACAATTCTTTTGTGTTTTTACTTTATTTTATGCTTTCTGCCTTCATTATTTATATTTGTTTAACAAATTAAATTAATGAACGTAATTGGTGCATAACATAAAAAACGAGTAAAAATATACGTTACATCTTGCATTCAAGACTCACGGTGCAATTTCAATTTCTTCACCTTTTCTTTTACTTTCCTTGTTGCTTGTGAACTTCTTGATATTGTAATGAATGCTAATCTAGCCATGAGTGGCTAAGTTATCTTACACGGGGTGTATTCAATCATGACTTTTGTAGAGTTTTAAAGATTTTTAAAATGATAGATTTTAATAAAATTTGATTGATTTTCATAGAGTTGTTCAAAACTCTTTAAAACTTTATAAGACTCTATAAAAGTCTATATAAAAAACATTCATAGATTTTTATCAACTTTTTATTTTAAAAAGTCTACAAAAGTCATTGAAATTCTAACTTGAATACATCCATACAAACTTTCAATGATTTTGATTCTTATCATTTATAATTTTCTTACAAAACATTTATAATAATCATAAAATTCTTCTTATTATATAGTTTTTCACCCACATGAGCATTCTCAACATTAATATTTTTGTCCATAATATGCTGAGACTTATATGCTAATTACTTATATATATATATATATATATATATATATATATATATATATATATATATATATATATATATATATATATATATATATATATATATATATATATATATATATATATATATATATATATATATATATATATATAAAATAAACATCAACAAAAAAAAAACTATTTCATTAGAAATTCATAACAATATTGAACAATAAAATTTATAATAAAAGAATTGATGATCAAATAAAGTATTTAAAAATATAATTACAAGTTGCATAAAATAAAAAAATAAAAATTTAATATTAATAATATAAAAAAGATTATACTTTTATTGCTAACAGGCATCATGCAAAGAAATATTATTTGCAATAACAATTTGAGACTGCGAACAACAACAAGGTGCTACTGTTTGCAACCCTAAAATGTTGTTGCAAATAGTAGTTCGCTATTCACAATTGATGAAGTAGTATTTTGGAGTCCCCATAGTATGTAGAACTCAAAGTCAATATCGAGTTGTTTTGCATCTTAATGTTGCAAAACATTAGTTGTACTTTTGGTACATATGTGCTTTCGATTTTTACTCTGATCTCTTATTTTTACTCTTTGACACGATAACCACCATTGATAAGTTACTTTTATTATGTAAATTTTGAAGAAAATATTAACATCAAAAATTTAAGTGAGAGAGTAGTAGTTAGCGTAGTATTTTTCTAATGAGATATCTCATATAAAATTATTTTCGTTATGACTTGAAGTCGATGGACCTTAAATGGTCCGTTAGGACAAGCCGTGCTTGACATGCCATTATGACCAGCTGTTTTTAAAGAACAAAGAGTAATTTATTAGTATTGTAGAATCTAAACGGTCAAGGTCAACGGCATAAGCCACAATTCTGATGCACATGTATTGTCTCTGGGGGTAAGGAAATATGTGAGAAAAAGACAATTAAGAGTGTTTTGGTTCATGAGTTTACACATTAGGAATAGGAATTTAAATTATAGTTAGTATTTAATTAACCACTTTATAAAACATAATTATGGATTTGATTACTTATTCAATTAAAAATTACATTCCCTAATTAAATAATGTATCAATCTATCTTATTATTAATATGATTTTTAAGTTTGGATTAACGTTTTTAGATTTTTGTTTTAATTTCTTTTTTGTTCATTTTGGTGTTTTTGGACGTTATTATATTAAGATCAATTTCCTTGATTTTTTTTTTTTTTGTATTTTTAAAACTTTTATTCCTATTATAGAGTTATACATAATCAAACATAAATATTGACAATCATTCCAGTTACACAATACCACCAAATATATATGCAAAATACTTTCACCAAATCTATACACCATAATCAAGTATTAATTAGATTCTCATTCCGATTTTAATTCTCATGTGCCAACCAAACACATCCTAAGTGATTAACAAAGACAAATTCAAAGATTATAGACCTCAAAATATGTTTCGATGGAATTGTCCTTCTTCTCAGTTAAGGACAGTCCTGACTCCTAGAAGCATTACAAAAAAAAAAAAAAAAAAAAAAAAAAAAAACCGCAGCTCAAACTTTTTCACGATTTTTAAAGCGTCATTAAAAAAAGAGAGAGGAGAGCAAGAAAAAAGGAAGAAAACGAAAAAGAAAAAAAAAAACAAAAACAAAAAACAAAAAACAAAACTGACAACAAATTTTTTAAAAAAAAATGAAAAAGTCAAATAAAAACGTGCCCAGTAGCTGTGTATAATGACATTTTCAACTTTATTAGTATCAATCTATGTATAATGACATTTTCATATATTTTTCCTAATTAATATGATGAAATTAAAAGATCAATTCTTTTGGGTCAAATTTAATAACATTATGATGGTCCATGATTAAGTATAAGTCTAGATATTGAGATGAATAGGGTAAACTTATAATAATTTTAAAATTTGTTCACAAATTTACAAAATAAAATAATAATAATAATAATAATAATAATAATAATAATAATAATAATAATAATAATAATAATAATAAATAATAATAATAATAATAATAATAATAATAATAAAACTTTTAATTGGTCAGCTAAGACTTAAGAGCATCTTCAAGAGAAATGGTAAAATTATAAAATGGCAAAAAATGGTGTATTTTGCCTCCAATGGAGACGCAAAAAACTGTAAAATTTTGCTGATGGCCAGGTGAACAGTGTTGTGCCAAATATGGCACAACACTATTCATCTACACCATTCTTAGTTTAATTCATTTATTCCTATTTGCTACTAATTTTTTTGTTAATTCATTTTGTATCATTTATTTAATTTTTATATATTTATATATTTTGTTAAATACTTATTCATAAGTTTTATATTGTTAAACATAAATTATATCTTTTGAAAATTTTTATCAAAACGATTAAAACAAACTAATATTGAATATAGATTAATTAAAATTAAATTACATAAAACATAATGTAGACATTAAAATTTTGATAAAAAAGAATTATTTTTATTAAAATATTTAAATATATTTAAGATAATATTTGATATTATCACTACTACTATAGAAGTTACATCTAACGTCGGTTTGACAACAAACCGATATACAAATGATAAATAAAATTATAATTTCTTTAAACTATATTTAACTTTGATTTTCTACAAAAACCGACGTCGTATCCCACAAATAAAAATATAAAAAAAAGAAGGGTATAATATAGGACGTTGGTTATTTCGTATAATGTAATTTTTTTTTTTAATTTTTTAATATGAAGAATGTTAATGCTACTAGCAAGCATAGTTCTCAGAAAATGAGTCATTTTCCTTTTCCTAATAGCACATATGTTTCTACTTCTTGCAAATTGCTTTGAGTTCTTACATGTGGATATTCTAGGTTTTTTTTTTTTCTATTGCAATTATCGGTAAACTCTAGAGGCGAGAAACATTGTCTAAACTAAGGGAGAAAAGCAATTTGCAGGAAAAAGAACTTGCAATAAACTCTCAAACTAATTAACTACAAAAGGGAGGAGCAAACTCTTGAAAACATCAAAATTAACCAACATCACAAACGAAATAAAATAAAATAAAATTCTCAATCAAGCACAATAGGAATGAATCAATCCCCACACTCTGCTACCTTGCTTGATCTCACTCTCTGATTTGCTGATTGGATTGTTGAAGTTGCAAACTCCACTGCTAGATTGCATGATACAGCCTGCTCTAACTTTCATAGATCCAAAATGGTAGTATGACATCGACCAATATTGAATATGACATGAAACAAAAACATTACACTTGTTTAGCATATAATATATAAACATAAATGTGTAATCTATCTATCCATTTAGACTTTTAGTTTAGATGGAACACTTGAAAATTTTCAATGTAATAATTTAAGGAGCGTCACAAATGAATTAACTCACCGAGGAATGGTCCTAATGTCTCCAAGTTCCACAAGGGTGTCTTTGATTGAAAGCAACTCCTTGACCGCATTGCCAATCCTCATTCTGTCCCTAGGTAACTCCACCGAACAAGCTATTCCAATCTTAAAGATCAATACAAGGCATTCTATTATCTGGTTCTGAAGTACCAGACTTTGAGGTGTTGCATTAGCTTCTTTGTGGAATAGCTTTGGATCCACAATCTCAGTGACTTGCTCAAGCATGCTCATCATTCTAACATAGTTACGAAGAGTTAAGTCATTATTGAAGATATCACTAGTAGGACTTTTACTGGTAAACATTTCTAGCAAAAGGATCCCATAGCTATACATATCTCCAAATGTTGACAAATCACTTCCCATCCCATACTCTGAAAAAATTCAAATTCAAGCATTACTAGTGTTTCACAAAAAAAAAAAAAAAAAAAAAAAAAAAAAAAAAAAAAAAAAACTCTAAAATTTTTAATGTTTAAATAGAATTGATCGATTCACTCACAAAAGTTTTAAGTAGAATAGCCTACCTGGAGCTGCATATCCAAAAGTCCCTTTAATTCCTGTAGATGAACTCACTTGGTTAGATGAAGATGCAAGTGTAACTTCCGTGAGAAGAAACTTTGCTATTCCAAAATCAGCCACGTGACCAACTAAGTCTCCATCCAACAAAATATTGCTTGGCTTCAAATCACAATGTACTAAACCTGTCTCCAATTGATTATGAAGATAATCAAGTGCATTTGCCACATCAATTGCGATATTTACCCTCTGTAACAAGTTCAAACTCTTTGAATCATTATCCTCTCCTGTGTCTTTTGAGTGATTGTGCAACCAATTGTCCAGACTACCATTGATCATATACTCATAAACAATGGCCAAGAAGTCATTACCCTCATGGTCGATGCTACAACAAGTGGTCAAAATTTTTACCAAGTTTCGGTGCCTAATTTGCCTCAATGCTTCACATTCTGCAAAAAAGCTCTTGGATGCTCCTCTCACTTGAAGCTTGAACACTTTAATTGCAACTATTCCCAAACTACCATCAAGAATGCCCTTGTAAACCGTGCTAAATTTTCCAAAACCAATTATGTTAGATTTAGAAAATTCATTAGTTGCTTTCTGGATACTCCAATATGACAACTTAGGCATGAACTCTATTGTTGCATCCAACGTTAAAGGCTGCTTGTTCTTCTGCTTGTAAATGAACACACTGAGAGACACAATTATGAGCAGAATCAAAGTCCCACTCGAAATTAAAATTGCCAACTTTTGAATATGGGACAGATGTTGTCTCTCTCCTTCTCTTGGGCATGTTGGCAACCCAAATTGTGGAATACCTCCACAAAGGTTGTTACCAACGAGCTCAACTTCAGTCTTGTGTTTAAAAATCCCTTCAGTAGGTATCTCACCTTCCAAATGGTTAAATGATAAATTCAACCGCTTCAAGTAGTGAAGTTTACCTAGAAATTCTGGTATTTCTCTTGTGAGGTTATTACAAGATAGATCTAAAATTTCTAGGCTTTTTAAAAAACTGAAAGAAGGAGGGATAAATCCATGGAAAAGATTATGATTGATGTTGAGTTCAATCAAGCTATTCAGTGCACCAATGGTACTTGGAAGTGTGCCTAAGAACATGTTGTTTGAGAGGTTTAGTGACACCAAATTTTTTAACCCACCAATCTCTACAGGAAGAGGACCTGTAAATTGATTGTGAGAGAGGTCTAAATACACAAGTGATGTGAGGAAAAATTTGGGAAAATTTCCTTGGAGTTTGTTTCTGGAAAGATCTAATTCCATCAAAAATTTAAAATTTCCAAAACTTATCGGTATTGTACCTTGCAACTCATTGAATGGTAGGTAAAGCTCACTAAGAATAGAAAGATTTCCCAAAGAAATTGGAATCTCACCAAACAATTTGTTTCCTTCAAGGTTTAAACCAATGAGTTGTTGAAGGCTTCCCCATGAGCTTGGCATAGTACCGCCTAGCTGGTTTTCTGATAAGTCTAGGTATTGTAAGTTAACAAGAAAACGAATTTCAGTGAGAATAGTACCACTTATGACATTTTCTCCAATGAGAAACTCCTCCAGACTTGAAAAGTTTGCATTGAATCTGGGCAAAACCCCTCCAAAATTGCAGTTCTCAAGATTCAGGACCTCTAGTGTAGCAGTAATATTGAGAAGAGATGACATGAAATCCAAATCAGTGGATTTTCCATTACCAAGTGGATTATCATATATTGAAAAAAACTTTAGGCTAAGTCCACTAAATGACGGTACCCCTCCATAAAAATCATTATTACAAACATCAAAAGAGTTTATTGCTGTGGCATTTGACATTGAGATAGGAAGTCTTCCTCTTAAAAGATTAGAACCAATATCAAAATGCTGTAGATTTGGAAGGGTAGAGCCTAAATTTGAAGGAAGATATCCCTCAAGTTTATTTTCTGATACATCAAAAGTTACCAATGATGAGAGATTGAAAATGGATATGGGAATGGTAGAACTCAGGTAGTTATTGCCTAGACCAATAAATAAAACTTTCTGCAGGCATCCAAATGAAGTAGGAATTTTTCCCTTGAAATTATTTCCATAAAAAGAAAGTACCTTGAGTGATGAAAAATTGCCTACGTAAGCACGTATCTCTCCCATCAAGTGGTTTGTGTTAAGCGAAAGGTACTCAAGTTTGGACAGTGATCCAAACTCCAAAGGAAATGTACCCGTTAGATTATTCTTTCCCAAAAAAAAATCTGTTAGACTAACACAATGTGAAAGGTTTTTTGGAATTTCACCTGAAAATACATTACTTTCCAGAACCAACACACTTAATCTTCTAAGTCTACCCAACTCTTTAGGAATTATACCTGCTAGAGTGTTGTTGTCAAGCCACAATTCTCTAAGAAAACTCAAGTTCCCAATTGCAGGGGACAAAGAGCCTTGAAGATTGCTCGACCTCATATGGATTGTTACAACTCGTTGGTGTTTGCGACCACAAGTTATTCCAACCCAATTACAGCAATGGGTAGACTCATTCCATGATTGAAGAGGATCTCCGATGATGTTGTCCTTGAATGAAAGTAATGCTCGGTGATCAGAAACATTTCCGGGCAGGGAGAAGGAAGCTTTGCAGAGGAAGGCAAATATGGCATATAAACAAAATAGGGAGGAGTTCATTTTGTGGAGAAGATAAAAACTTTATTATACTGAGTGCACTGGGACTGGGTGGAAAGATCAGAGTATATATAGAGCTCAAGAATACAAATTATCCAAACCAGAAAAAATATCTCTATGTTTTTTTATTATCCAAACCAGAAAAAATATAAAAAAACACTTTTAAAAGTTGTTTTTCAGGTTTTTAAAAGGTCTCTTAATCTTGCTTTCAATGTTTAGATGGAGTTTGAATTCCATTGAAAACCTAAGCTGTTATTGAAAACATTGACCAGTTAGTTGTGGTTGATATATTATAGCAAAATTGAAAATGTTGGATTATTAAAATAAAAAATCTTATCAAATACTGAATCCATTAACTTAGTAAAAGGCAGCTTTTAATCCGTGGGGTCTGGGGTACTAATGTACTATGTTGGAAAAACTGGAGCACACTTATTACTTCACTATTTTTAATGAAAATTTTACAAAACCTTTTTCATATAATACTTCTTTTTAGTCAATGGACCTCAAATTCGTCCATAAAAACATTGACGTACCAACGTCTTTTATGGGAAAATATATTTAATGGGCAATCTCGATCTAACTAAGTTGATTTATTTTATTATAATCTTTTATTGAATAAATTTATAAGATGCTTTTTTTTTTTTTTTTTGTACAGTCATTCAGATAGTGATGGTAAATTTTTATCTTCACTCAAAAATTAAAAGTACTAAAGTGTTCCCTATTTGTAAACCTGCGTTTCGTTGCTCACACGATGTTCATTTTGCTAAAGCTATGGCTGTTAAACAAGCTCTGTCTTGGGCAAAGGATTGCGATTTTATGAAGATCAAGGTTTTTTCAGATTGTCAGTTGGTATGCGGTTTCAATAATGGAGCTATGCTTGATTCATCTTATGTCGGTTGCGTAATAAATAATTGTAGGAGTTGTCGAAGACACTTAGAGGTTGTGTCTATTTGTTTCATCCCTAGACCAGTGAATAAGCTGCCTTATGCACTAGCAAGAGCAGCTCGTTCCCAAACTGGTTCACTCTCTTGGTTTTCATCTATTCCTTCTTGTATTGAGAATTTAATTTAATAAAGTTGTGTTTTACCCCTCAAAAAAAATATAAATCTCCAAATAAATACAAGTATAAACTGTAAATGAAAAAGAAAAGGAAAATGGCTCAGATAAATAATTTTCAATACGATTTTAAGTCAATGGACCTCAAATTCATCCATTAGGACAAACCGTGCTTGATGTGCCAACAACGAATTTAATTGCAAAATGTATTTAATGGGGCAACCTTTAATCAAATTGGTCAATTGAGGTTGGTAATCACAAATTTTTAATTTTACTATTAAAAAAATAACATAAAACGCGAAACATATAACGATGGTTTTTAATATATTTTGAATTAATATATTTTGAATTTTAGGAATTATTTTTAATATATTTCAAATTTTAAGAATTATTGTGTATTTTAGGTATTATTGATTAATATATTTCGAATTTGAAAATCTATTGTGTATTTTAGGAATTATTGTTATTATATTTTGATTAATTTATTTTGAATTTTGTAAATTAATGTTAATATATTTCAAATTTAACCATCTATGGTCCTTCTAAGAGGACCGACTGGTTAAATTTTGAAAGTTGAAGGAACATTGGTGGTTAACTTGGACCACAAATGGTATTAATTTGAAAGTTGAAGGATCATGAATGGTTCATTTTAAAGTTTAATACTAAACGTAACAAAACCACTATATTCGGATGACACTATATAGAATTAAATCATTATTTTAAATATTATTGTTGAATTTAGGGTTTTAATTAGTATTTTATTGAATTGTAAATTATTTTGAGATTGTTTGAAATAGTATTGTTATGAATTATTATACATTTAATATATTAATTTACAAATAAAACTTGTAAGTGATTAGTTTCATTCAAGGTTTGTTTATCATGGACAACTCTTTGGTGAGGTAAAATCATTATCTATTTTTTTCCTATGAACTTTTGACTTTCCCTTGTGCATCCGGTGATTGGCTACACCGTTGTCTATGTTTATTTCTATTTTCAGCTTTCCCCTTGTGCATCTGATGATTAGCCACACAGTGGTCTATGTTTAAATTATTTTTGTTTATTATTATTATTATTATTATTATTATTATTATTATTATTATTATTATTATTATTATTATTATTACTATTTTAAAAATTTGTTGAATTAGTGTTAACAAAAGTTTAATTAGGATTAATATTATTTTACATACAAGATCAATGAATGTTGCAACGGGGACTATTTTTGAAATTTCTTCATTTTCTATATTTGCAAGACTGATTGCAGCATTGTTTCTGTCTCGGCATTTTTTCGATGTGTCAAGTGCGTCACTATGTTCTATTGCGCTCTATTTTGGCATCTTTAATAATGAGTTTTAAATGTAGCTACGTAAGATAATGATCTAATTGTCATTTACATATTATTATTCACATAAAAGCATACCAGTCCTTTAGATCTTCTGCTTGAGGTACTTTCGGTTCAACCATTATTATTGAATGAGTTCTTGTGCATAGAAAAATTCCTTATTTATTTAAGGAATACAATTAGATAAGGTAGTAAAAATTAATACATTTTAAATCATTTATATATATATATATATATATATATATATATATATATATATATATATATATATATATATATATATATATATATATATATAGTGTAAGGTTCCGGTGCGGTTGTGCGGTTGATTAATGTGCGTGAGGTTTGTACTCAATGTGCGTGAGTATTGTGCTTAATGTGCCTGAGATTTGTACTTAATGTGCGTGGGTGTGTAATGTTAATGTGCGTGAGTTTTGTACTTAAGGTGTGCGAGTCTTGTGCCTAAGATACGTGAGTTGTGTGCTTAATGTGCGTGAGTGTGTTCTTCATCCACTGCTTTGAAATTATGCGCATCCACTGCTGCATTTTCTTCTTGTTTTTTGTTTTGAAGTGGTGGGGGAATGGATTTTGTCTTGTTTTTAACACAAAATCAGAACAACCATATGTGCGTTCACATATATCCATCCATTCACACACAATCAGAAAAGCTTCACCCACCTTCTCTTTCTGTTCTGCTTCCTTCTAAGCTCGTAATTCTGAACTCAAGTCACGCACATTAAGCACAAACTTCACGTACATTAAGCACAATACTCAGACACATTAAGTACAAAACTCACGCACATTAACATTACACACTCACGCACATTAATCTGCCGCACGAGATGCCACAAATGCACCTGATCCCTTCCGTATATATATATATATATATATATATATATATATATATATATATATATATATATATATATATATATATATATATATATATATATATGGTGCATTTATGCATACCTAATGGTGATATATATATATATATATATATATATATATATATATATATATATATATATGTAAGTATGTATGTATGTATGTATATATATGATTTACCTTTAAAGTGAACAAATATGATGTAATCCAAAAATGTTATGAGATAGTTTCATGCTTCAATTTCTTGGAATACCTTCTTTGTCAACAAATCATCTTAAAGTAGTTAATATAATTGATTTCAAATTTTTTTTTTTATTTTTTTCTTGGTATTAATAAAATATTTGGTAAATAAATATATAACATATATTGTATTATAACTTTAATATTTAATTACAAGATATTGTAAAAAAGAAGACAATGGACATTGTAGTGAATATAATTAAATAATGAAATTGAAGGTAAGGAGTCTTTAAATTGTAGAAAATAAAGATAATATAACTAATGAAATAATATCTATGTTTTAATTTTTTGATACTGAATCAAATTTTTTGAATAAAGGCATTATAGACATCTAATTCTAAATTAAAGATTGCATGTGTTATTTTTGGTTGTAGCTACTAATTTATTCAATTTAATATGAGTAATAAAGTGGGATACTTACTTTTCATCCACAACAATAAAATCATTTTTTTTAATTGTCATTCGTTGCTGAGATAAATTGTTTTGGGAGTTTCGAGTTTGTCAAAGAAAATTGCTATAATTATTGTCAATAGAGGATGATAACAAATCATTCGAAATATATGGTTACAATAGATATTATTATAATGATATATTAAAAATTAACTTATAAATTTTTTTAAAAGTTTTCATGTATTGATAAAATTATGAGAATAATGTGTAAACTTGTTCAATTGAAGTCAATGAGATGTCAATATTGTCAATTCTTTGGACAATAATATAGTCATACCGTTTACCGTCCGGGTATAGTTGTATTTCTGATCAACAACTTTGTAGTTTGGTCGCACAGGTCTGACATTGATGTAAGAACAATTTTGTCCGATAAAAAAATAATAGTACAATAATTGTAAAGTAATGTACAATTATACCATTATAGAAATATATACAAAAAATATTAATACAATAATAACGTAAATCATTCAAATAATGCAAATGCATAATTGAAATATTGAGTTTTGTTTTAAATAATCAAAAAAAAGATTAATTATACGGAAAAAAAAAAAACAAAACTCAAACTAAATTTGTTTTCTTAAAAAATGCAAGAAAACGATTTTCAAGGTTCCTTTCTTTCTGATTTATAATCTTTGATGCTCAACTTTGAATACTATGTATTTAGTCGGGCTAATTATTTGATTAAAGTTTATGTTTAACTATATATTGTATTTTTTTTACCAGGACTATGTGGTCCAATGGTACCCGGGTTGGACTTCCATTAGGAAGGTTGTGAGTCCACCGCCTCAGTGGAGGCGTTATTAGCTCTTTGTGTTTCAGTAGGTTGAGAAAGTATATGAACAGATACTACAATGTAATAGAGCTAGTAGCATTCAAAAAAAAAAAAATATATATATATATATATATATATATTGTATTTTTAAAATAAATTTTAACATATTCATAGTATATGTTTAACAATTATACCAACTTTTATTAAGATAAGGTTTGAACCTAAGACCTTTTTATAGAAATTAATGAATAA